GGGGGGAAGAGAGAGAGAAGGAATAAAACAGTCATTAGAGGGGTACATTGGGGGTGAGGACAGGAGGCTAGCCCACAGGAGAAGAGGGTAGAGGGCTCTCCTGACAAAGTAGGGTGAGAGTGACCAGTGCTGCATTTCTGGCCATAGCAGTTGGTCATGGTGAGCAGCACTGCCTGAGAGTCCGCTGCCCCAAGATCCCACAGTTGCCTGGGCCTGGGTCTCTGCCTTGGGCCTGACCGTGCATGTTCAACACTTGTGAACAAGAAGTCGAGCTATATCTTGCTCTGTGGGAGATGAGAACAAGGACCAGGGGCAAAACCCATGTGTCATGAGAAGACCCTATGTGCTCAGTGTATTTCTGACCCCAGGAAAGTCCCTGGGAGCAAGGTGGGCACATAGGTCTTGGAGGAAACATTCTCAAGAGACCCTTCAGTGACCACTTCCAGGGAAAAGATGGCTCCCAGGGTCACGTTTCCTGCTCAAAAACAAGCCTTTCCACCTTTCAGCAGAAAAAAGAAGTGTTCTGCTCACGTTGTTAAGGTAGCAAGTGTTTGCAAAATATTTTCAAAACACAGCACCCAGCAGCCCTTGCAGGACAGCCTGCCTGTCGAAGCTGAGTGGCTGCCAGGGGCCTGAGCAGCACCCTTTGGGCCTGGGAACTACCACACCCACTGTTCCCAGGTGTGCCCGTGCCCAGCACTCTGCTGCCCACGCCTGCCTGGGCACGACAGCCAGGGAGGGTCTTGCCATGCACCTGAGGGTAGTGGTGGTGGTGATGGGGAGACACTGGGAGAGACAGAGAAACAGACAGACAGACAGATAGACAGAGAAACACAGGCAAACGGGATTGGAGGGAGGCTGGGAGAGATACTGAGAAATACACAGAGACAGAGGAGAGAGTGCTGAGTGATACAGAGGTACTGAGGAGACACCTCAAGGACACTGAGACATGCAGAGAGACACCAAGAGAGATGGGCAGGGGGACAAAGAGCAGCGGGCGGTGTGTACTGAGGCCCTTGATGTTAATGAGTGCATTTTAATGACCAGATCCCAACCCACCCCACACACTGAGGTTGTGACCACCACACAAGGCATTCATGAACGATTAATGAGTATCCATTAACAGTTGAAGAGATCAATCATCACTAAAGGTTAATGATGATTTAATTAATGACCAGGTCATTGACCATTAATTAAATGATTGCATTCTTAATCACTGAGACATGATTAATGATGATAGTTAATGATGAATTAATGATGAAGAAGATGGACAGTTAATTGATGAGCTAGAAGAGGATAGGAAGGGCTGGATGGGCAGGGCCTTCACCAAGCAGGAGGGGGCTCCATAAAGAGAGGATTTGGGGGCTGAGGGGCCTCCAGAGCCACCACAGTTACCTTCCTCTTCGTACTCCTCTGCATTGGAATAGAACAAAAGAGAGGGGCCATATTAACAGAGGCTGCTGGAGAGGGTGGTGGGAGGGCCAGCCCACCCCATCCCCGGACAGTCCAGCCTCTTCTGCTGGCCAGGGATAGGGCCTGGGACTCCTTGGGCACAGAGAGGGCTGTCTGTACTGGAGGAGGAAATGGCTGAGCCATGGCAGGCCACATCTGCACCCTGGATGCCACATCCTACCATGACCATTAGGCCAGAAAACCCCAAGCCCCTCAGGGTCAGATAGCCCCAGCAGGTCTGCAGGCTGAATGGGTTGAGATGTGGTCTTCTCAGAGGAGAGGTCAGACCATTTCCAAAGGGGGTTGTCCCAACACCCACCCACAGAGGTGGCCAACCTGGGATGTCCAGGCCAGGGGCCCCCAACAGATACGTACTGTTCCCAATCAACCCCAATTCCCAAGAGTGATTTTTCTGACTAGGGGTGGAAGTAGAGAGAAAGAAAATAGCTGTGACACTCACCCTCAACATGTTCACTGCAGGGGCAGGTGGAGGGGGAGAGAGAGAAAGAGAGAGAGAGGAGTGAGGTGGCTTCTGCTGACTGGGCTACAGCAGCCCCCAGAAGCCACAGGACAGGGTCTGAGGCAGCTCCCAGGCAGTGGTACTCACACTTCCTCGTCAGACATGGTGAGGGTGGGTTGTTTCTGGGGAGAGAAAGTGGGAGAGGTGCCTTGGCTTTTGGTAAGGGAAGGTGGCTCTGAGCTAGAGTTGAGAGGGGATATCACAAATAAGACTTGATCAACCCCTTGGTCTCCTGCACATATGGCCCCTCATCAGCTCCCACCCAGCCTTCTTCCCCAAGACTCTGATCCTTCTCCTTTCTGCCAAGGCTTCAGCCTGGAGCTCAGAATCCCCTGTATGCAGACATTCTCCCTACAGCATCCTCAAGGAGGGCCCTTGAGGTGCAGAGTGTAGTCCAGGGCGAAGAGGGCTCCGCAGATCGTTCTGCATGCTGGGAAGACTTGCTGGTCTGAGATACAGCCTGTCTCTTGGTAGCCTCTGATTAGGTTGGGGACAGCTTTCTGGGGAGCCAGGATGACCAAGGCCAGCTCCCTAAAATAGTCAGTACAGACCTGCTCCGTTATGCCCACCCAACATCCTCTTTCTTTGTGTGAGCCCAAAGTGCCCTTCAATGCCCCGTGACTTCCAGCCAGGCTCCCTTGAGGATACCCCAGAATCTAACAACCATCTGAGGATGCCTCCTCCAAACCACAGAGCACATGAGTGGTCTATCCACTGACTGCCTCTTCCCCACCACACACGGAGGCTGAGCCCCTGACCTCATCAGAGCTGTGGTCAGAAGTGTTCTTTGGTGGGTGCCCCATCCTGGAACCCTTGGGCTACATGACATTGCTTTTTCCCAGGCCCGTGGTACTCTTGATCTTGTCAGTGTTTGTGGGAAAGTGCCATGCCTGGGACTGGCTGTACCTGTGGCAGATGTGACTATTGCAGAGCAGGGAGTTTGGGACTGCTGTCCATGAGCTAGCCCCCCACACACACCCATGCAATGGGGCCTGGGAACTCTCTGAGCAGCTGTATCAGAATGCTGGCTTCAGGTTTAAAAAACAAAGTTCGTGACAACATATTACATACTTGAAAACAATGGTGATGCCCCCTCCGGGCACTTATATAAGAAAACACCTGTTCATCAGCTAAAAATCATTTGCTGCTCAAAGCTAAGGTTGTAGCCATCTCCAAGCTCTCTGTCCATAATGTTCCTTTTTTTCCAAGCAAGTTGATCTCCATGCAAAATTAACCATCAGACATCTGTGAAGCCCATGTCTGGGCACAAGGTGAGGCCCACATCACAACAGAACCCTGCCCAGGACTCCATTGCCCGTCAGTAGACAGCCTCTAGCATATCTGCAGCTGGGAGGAGGCTCATCATTCCTGGACCCAAGGGCTACAGTTGCCTACCCATCTGGTTCCTCTGGCCCTTTCTCATCCCTACAGCTCCTGGCTTCCCTTCTCCCTTGGGGTCTGCCCTCTCAGTAGGTCTAGAACCCAACTCCTCTATTGCCAGGCCACTCTGTAGGGCAAGAAGTTCAGTGAGGGCTGTGGAGCTGGGGGACCCTGCTCCCCTGCCTCCACCCCGAACCCAGCAGGGCCAACACCTGTCAGCCCCCAAGGGGGAGGGGTGGCCCATGACTAGGGAGGGGCTATTTTTAAGGAGCTGGTGGCAGCTGAGGTACCCAGAAATAGGCACGCAAATCAGCAAGACGCCTTTGCCCAGAAACCCAAGATGGTGTATGGGGGTGGGGAAAGAAACAGCCCAGACCTTCCTCCTTCTCCAATCTCCTGAGGGCACCCAGTGAGGGCGCCTGCACCCTTTCAAGGTGAAGCAGCAAGGTTCCTTCCCAGGTGGGGAAACTGAGGCTCCTATTCCTCTGAAGAGTGCTTGAAGGCCTCTGCAGTGCTGCTTTGCATCCCCTCCCCCTCTGTGTGGTCCCTGTCACTAGCTCTGTGTTGTGGGGGTGCTGGGGTGGGGGATGGCATTTCGACAGCTGAGAAGGAAAACAGTTGTCCTCTTAATGCTCTGCCCTCAGAGGCAATGCATGTAAATAGCACATGAGGCTGGGTTCCTTGGGGACATATGCCATCCTTCCCTCCTTCAAAGGGGACAAGGGGCGGGGGTACAGGAGGCCCTGCCAGTAACCTGCTAGGGGACTCTGACCATGCCTTGCCTCAGCTCATTCCCCTCTGGCTAGCTTGCTTGGCTCTGTCCGCTCTCAGGATGCCCAAGGATCTCTGGACAGTGCTCAGGACCTGGTGGATGAGGGAGCCTGGCCAATGACTTCAAGGGGCCTCTCAAGGCTACCTGCTCCTTCCAGCCACAGGCAAGGTGGGACATGGCCTTTCTGGGCAGGAACAACTCCCTCCTCCCTGTCCTGCCCCAGCCCAGCCCCAGTTCACTCCCCCAGGAGCTACCCCAGGCCTCCTTGGGGTCTAGAATTTCTCCCTCTGGAATCCTTTCCATGGTAACCTGTAATATCTACCCCTTACTATCATCTCTATAAAAGGGCACTGTCAGGGGCAATACCCAGGAAGTTCCAGATGGGCCTGAGGCAGCTGTGTTATAGCAGGCAGCCCCTGGGTAGCCCCTGAAGCTCTGGGCAGAGTCCCTTTTGTGGAGTCTAGTTTCACATCCTTACCTCTCCACCTTAGAGTGACGCCTTACCCCAGGCCTTCTAGCACCCCTGCCTTCCCCACTCCATACCCTTGTGTTCTAGTTTAGACCGGGTCTTATGCACTATGCTAAAGCTAGGGGAACATGGAAGCATGATGTCAGAACCCCTCATCAGTCCCCAGGGGCCACCTGGCTTCTCCAGCCATCATGCTTCCCATCCAAGTGTCAACCTGTCAGCAGGGGGACTTGGTCACCAGGCCCAATAGTGCTCTTTGGGTGCCAGGTACCCAGCTCTGATGCAGGAGGCCTTGCTGGTAGTTCATTCCCATACGTACCTGCTGCTGAGTCTGAGAAAGTCTGGAGCTCCCTGTGGACAGGACCAGCTGCAGGCACTGCCCGGTTGGCCTCAGACCCTCATGTTATACCGACATTTGATCTTTCCCAGCAGCCCATTGGCCAGTGGCTGGGTGGCTGGGGTGGGAGGGTGGGGTGTGGCCCATCAGGCCCCTGACCAAGTATAGGAATGGCCAGAGGAGGAGGCTGAAGGAGGCGAGGATGGAGGAGACGTGCCTAGAGGAGTCAAGGTCCCTGCCTCCCCCAGGAAGGTATCAGCTGCTATTTTTACTGCCCAATGGTAGGCCTGTTTTTGAAGAACTCAGGAGGGGAGGAGGAAGGTGAAATACAGCCTTGGGATGGTGATATGAGGACTGTCTTTAAGCCAGGCTTCTATGGGGGTCCCCAGGCCTGGAGTCCCAGGCCCAGGTTCCCCAGCCCCTGCTCCTCTGCCCAAGGTATGTTATGGGAGTGGACACCTCACCCAGGGCAAGGATCTCCATGCAGAACCTTGCCCAGGCCCGCCCCACGCCCCTCCATTAAAGAAGCAGCCCAAGCCCCCAAGGGAGTAGAGGACTCTGAGTCCTTAGCTGCATCACTCTGAGGTTCTTGGATGCCAGGCCTATTTGTCTAAGTGAGACCATGGGGATACAAAGATGAAAAGGTAGCAGAAAAAGTGACCTAAGTCCAGTGGCTCCTGCTATGGCATCTCCCCCTGTGGCTGGTTCCTCCCAAGGCCCGGGGCCACACCGCTGTCCTCAGCTCCTTTTTAAGCATCCAGAAGTTGGAAGCCCCTCTCCTCCCAGGGACCAGGGTAATGTTTGGGCTCTGAGTGGCCGGTCATGTGCTTGTAGAGCTGGCCTTTTTTCCCTCAGGACTCCAGGGGGCACCATCCAACCAACAGATGCCTCTCATGGGCCTCTGATGGCCCCATGCTTGCCAGGGAGACACATACCTGGATGCCCCCACCTCTTGGACTAGGGAAACCGAGGCAGGGATAGGGTGGGGAGCAGCTTGATACCTTGACCACATTGCACACTCCTTCCAGATCTCATGGACTAGGCATTGCTTGTGGGGTCCATGAAGCTGCCCAATCCAGAGATAACCAGTCCCCAGGACAAGAGGAGCCCCAGGAGATGCAGGCAAGACCCTGCCCTCCAGAGTCCTAGGGTTGGGACAGCAAAATGACCCGGTACAAGGCCCACAATACCCCAGCTCTGGCTTCATCTGCCTCTGTGTCCCAGATCTGTGTCTTAAGCCTTCTATGGTTAACACCTCACACAGTCCTTACATGATGGAGATGAGGCCTTGATGGCTAGAGACAGGCAGGGATATGTCTGGGGCACAAGGGAAGGACAGATATTGCCCCAGGCTACTGGCTTGAAAGATAGGGGCCCTCCACTGCCCACCTCTCCACTAAGCACCCAGCTACTGGGGTCATCCCTGTCCTGCTAGTCAGAACCTATACCTCCCTCTCTACCTGCCCGTGTCCTCAGACACAGTCTGGACCCCTGGGTACCACTGACCATCTCTCTGGTTGTGACTGTCTACTCTGGAACTCCTGCAGAGGTCCTGAGCTAGTTCTTTGGGAGCCCCCAGCCTCTTCCATGGTGAGGCAGATGCCCTCCCTCCCAGTCTGGTTCTCTAGAGTCTGCTAATAGAGGCCTGAGCACACACTACCACCTTCCTGTTACAGATGCCCATGTGGTGCACAGGACTTAAGGAGAACTTGGTTCCATCTGCTGGCCTCACTGGAGCTTGGCCTGCGAAGCCTTTGTCCACTAACCTTGCCTGGCTAGAATGGGAGATCTTTAGAGACCACACCTGCTGCTGGGCATGCCCCGGGCTCTGCAGTGGCCCTGCTTGGCCAGCAGGGGAGGGTGGCTGCCCACTTAGCAAGCCTCGGTCTTTGGCAGGTGCTCTCCCATGAGGTCAGAGGGACAAAGCAGGTCTTATTTTGGGTAACAGCTACCTCCTCCTCAGGGCGCCAGCCCTGAGGTACACCAGGACAGCAGAGAAGACACTGGTGGACACTGCTGCCGGCTGCTGAAGTCCTGTGACAGGTAATCCACACCGGGTCCCACCTGCCCTGGGTGGGGCTATGTAAAGGGAGAGGAAACTGGGCAGAAGCCTCTTCTGGAGACTAGGAAAGAGGGACTGGGGACCTTGGTGAGGCCAGAGACAAGAGGCAACTCAGTCCAGTTGGGTAGGAGACAAATTTCTACCCAGAAGGAGACTGGAGACCTACTAGTGCCAGTCCCAGGGTGGGGGTGGGGGTTGGGGCTTCAAAGTTAGTAATACTGAGCTAACCCCCAATGTGGGGATGAGGCCATGGGAGGGGGCCAGCTTTCCCAGTGTCTCATTGCCAGTGGCCTCTGTGGTGACTCCTCAGTCTGGGTCCCATGTCCCAGCACCTATGGTTGGGAGTGGAAGAGCCCACCAACCCTGAGCCTTCCCTGGTGCCCTAGGGTGACCCACTGCAGGCTGGTTCTGCCAGGCCCAGGATAGGAGCAGCTGACATGGCACTTGGGACTGAGCCACTCTGACCACGGTGGCTGCTGCCCCCACGCCTGTGCATAGCCTGTGGTTTTGCAGACTCACTGATTGGCTCTGCAGATACCAGGGGGTGTCTCTTGTGGGCAGAACTGTAGTGGTGACTGCACTAGAAGCAGTAGGCCATCAGAGGCCCCTGAGGCAGGCAGGATTGGGGGTCAGTGTTCTGGCATCCCTGGCCAGGTGCCTTCTGGGTGGTGACCACTTGACATTGACAGTAGCAGAACTGCCTTCCTGGTTTGGGGCAGCAGGTGTGGGTGTGGCTCCACACTGGGGTGAACTCTGCACCTGCAATCCAAGCAAGGTATGGGTTGAGCCATGGCCAAGGCAACAGAACTTGGGTCCTCACCCCTGAGGCTGAGCCAAAGGGGATCCAGCCCTCCGATTCTTAATACTGCACACTCCGGTCCTGTGCTAGTGTCCAGCTCCCTGCCCCACTGTTGACTTTGCTATCCTTGGTCACCATCCCCTCCAGACTGGGCATGAAAGGAAGGGAATATCTGTCACCTGGGAAGTGCTCTTGCCTTGGCAGAGGCTGGCCCTCGATACTTTCCCAGTGGTAGGACTGTGGGCAGAAGGGATGGGGGGTGGCATGCCACTTGCCCTGCCTTGGCAGATGTGTTCTGTTGAGCTTTTGCCTTCTTGAGCTGTTCATTTTTATGAGGCAAGTGAGATTTGACTAAGAAGACTTCAGAAAGTGGAGGCTCTGAATGCCTAAGTGAATGGCAAGGTCAAGCTTAGACCATCAATGTTCAAGGGCCGCCCTAGACATGGAGGGCAACGGACTTTGTGTCAGGCCCAAGGGTGGTCCCAGGGAGAAGGAGTGCAGGGGAGGAATCCTCTACCCTGTCTCCTATTTATGCTTTTGTCCACCCTCCCCTTTACTCATTCTTAAGCCTGTTTTCTTACACTCATGACTTTCCTTCCTTCTGTTCCTCCTTCCTCCTTCTTTTCCTCCATGATCTATCTACCCACTTGCCAGTTATCTATTCATATTCTGTCCATCTGTTCACCCATCTATCCATCCATTCCTCCATCTATCACTCATTCTTCCATCCATCACCTATTCACCCACCTATCCATCTACTCATCCATTCATCCATCTATCCATCTACCCATCCACACATCCACCCATAAATCATTCATCTACCCATCCATCCACTTGCCCACTCCCCATCATTCATCCATCACCCATCTACTTGTTCATCCACTTATCTGTCCCTCAATCCATTAATCTTCCACCCTTCACTCATCTAGACTACCTCCCACCCTCCCATCCATCTGTTCATCTGTCCATTCATCACTCCCATCCATACATCCCCCATCCATTCAGACCTCTGTCCAGCATGGGTTTGGGTGTCCTTCCGGCTGGTGGGGTGATCGGCTGTCTGCAAAGGCTGGGCCTCAGTCTCTCCTTCCTAAGAGGCTCTTGGCTGCTCTAGGAAATGATCCCTTCAGCCAAGGTCAGGATTCTTCTTCCTCTCCCAACTGTGAGGAGCAGAGCTTGGGGATCATGGGGACTGTTCTGTGGTGGCTCTTCCCCTCAGTGAATGCACAGACAGGGCTCACACAAGTCCAGTGGTTCCAGTGTCATGAGGTTTATTTTGGGCCAGGAAAGGCAGAGGTGTTACAGATATCCTGGAAAAGGAATGTGGGGTCCCAGCCATTGTGGGTACCCCAATTTAGGACATCTCAGATCCTGGAGTTTAGTGCTCCTTAAGGACGTGGGATAGGCCCTGAATTTGAGACCAGCATGCACTATGCAGTGTGTGGGCTGCCCCAGTGATGTGGCTTTTCTGTCCTGGCCAGTCCCACTCCCTCATCCCTCCCCGGTTAGAAAGCAATGGAGACAAGCACATGAGGGACTCTTGAGACATTTTATTGCACAAAGTGGGGGAGGGGGTCCTATAAGCAGGGAGCAAGAAAGATGCAGAGTCCTGAGCATCCAGCATGATCTTAGGTGTCCCTCAGGTGTGGTTGGATAACTAGCCCTCTGCACAGACTGGGCCTCAGTCTCTAGCTTCCTTAGGGGCTCTTGACTGCTCTAAGAAGTGGTCCCTTAGCCAGTGTCAGGACTCTTCTTCCTTTCCCAACTGTGAGAGGCAGAGCTAGGGGATCAGAGTAGGAGAGTATAGAAGCTGGAGGGTCCAGGAACAAAAGGAGGTGGTAGAGGAAGCAGGGGTGTTGGGGGGTGTGGCAAGGCCACGCTGGTGATCAGAAGCACTTCTTAGCCAAGGCTGGAGGCAGCAGTGGTGTCTGGCTGAATCTCCCCTGGAAAAGTGGAGGATGCTGCTAGCCTGCACCTGTCAAATACAGGGATGGGGCATGAGGAACATTATCCTGGAGACTGAGGAGTAGCTGTAGCTATGCTTCCTGAAGGATTCGGTTCTCTGCTCCCTCCACACTGCTGGTCCACTAGTGGTCACCTGGCCCTGAGCACACCCCCCTCCTACAACCAGAAGGGCCCTGCTTCAGCCTGTACCTGGAAGATCAGCTCCCTGGGTGAGCTCTGGTGCTCCAAGTGTGGGCCCTGCCCTGGACTGTCTCAAGGTAAAGGGAATGCTACCCACCCATCCTGGCAGCCCCCCAGAATGTGGGGGTTCCCTCAGTTTTCTAATCCTATGGCCAGCAGCTGAGAGTGAGGGAACAGACCCCTCCTGGCCCCTCCCCAGCAGATGGCTCCTGCCTCGTTAGAGCCAGCCCTCACGGCAGCAGCCCAAGGCCTCCCTCCTTCCCAAACCAGACAGCCTCTGGCTCGTCCCAGATGCCATTTGTCAACGTCCTTGCAAACACGTGGCGCCCAGAAACCAAGGCGGGTGGCTTGGCCAGGACCACCCTGGGCAGGAGGTCTGCGGGAATATCCCATTTAGCGTAGCTCAGCGAAAATTGCTCCCACCTTCCGGCCAATCTACCTCTGATGATGCAGCCTCAGCTTTCCCAAGCCATTTGGCCGCCGCTCCTTACCACTGGCTTGCAGCAGACCGACGCACTTGTGGTTGGGCTGGCGACAGCATGGCGCCCCTCACGTGTCTGCGGGTAGCCTGCTCTTCCTGCCCTTGGCCAGGGTCGGTAACTGGCCAGACTCAAGCCTCCCACTTGGAGCTTGCCTGTGAGTCTCTTACCCCCCACCCTGCATGGCACGATGGCCTGGCCCAGTTTATGTGCATGAGAGACTGGCATTGTGCTGGGCATCGGGACACAGGTAGGTTCTAACCCTTATCACCTGCCAAGAAGCTGTAGCTCTTGGGGCTCACTTCCATACCAGCACTTGGTAGCCCTGCCTACAGCCAGGGATGCCCAAGCTTAGAAGGCACCGGTAGATCCTGGGTGTCAGGCAGAGGGCTTTTGGTAGTTAAAATGCCACATCTCTGGCCTCCTGGAGAACGGGAAACCACATGTCCCACCACCACGAGGAGGAGGGCTGGCCTGACTGTGTCCCTCCCACTACAGGGTGCAGTGATGCTCATCTCCACTGCCTCGGTGCCTCTGGGGGCCAGTGGCCGGAGCCCCCAGGGGACCCTTGGCCCCCCTCCACCCTTGCTGCCCAAACCGGGGAAAGACAACCTGCGTCTGCAGAAGCTTCTGAGGAAGGCGGCTCGGAAGAAGATGGCAGGAGCTGCCCCTGCCCCACCTGGAGCTTTCCGCACCTCCCTGTCCCCCGTGAGCGAAGCTAGCCATGACCTGGAGACCACGGCTCCACGTCCCGCTGAGGCCCCACGTCCCGCTGAGGCCTTGCGTCCCGCTGAGGCCCCACGTCCCGCTGAGGCCTTGCGTCCTGCTGAGGCCCCACACACTGTGGTGCCCCTGCCCCGCTCCCCGCACACCCCAGTCATTCACCATGTGGCCTCGCCCCTGCAGAGGTCCACGTTCTCCTTCAGCCTCACTCAGCGCCAGGCTCTGGCTGCACATTTCAAGGCCCCTTCAAGGCTTGAAGCCCCAGTTCTAGAGCCTGCCCAGCCCCCCAGTCGCTCTGCCTCTATCTTGACCCCCACAATAGGGGGCACCCATGTCACTCAGGTGCACATCCAGCTGGCACCATCCCCAAGTGCAGGAACTCCTGAGTCCCCCAGGACAGACCTGAGTGGGGGACCCAGCAGCCGGAATGGAGAACCAGCCCCAGGTCTCCCTAGTACCCAGCCCCAGATCCCAGTGGCTCATATCCGCCCATTGCCTGCTGGGGCCCAGGCTGTCAGTCCTAGGCCTGAGGAGCCCCCTACAGTGAGGCCACCATCCAGCTTCCAGGCCGCAGTGTCCAGAGAGGCAGGGACCAGGGTGGTGGTGCCCATCGCCCCCACCTACCGCTCGCCTGGACCCTTACCATACAGCCCGGTTCCCACAGCACCTGAAGCTGAGCACTCGGAGCAGTTACCTATAGCCAGCCCTACACTGGAGGTCGAGGGGGTCCCATCATCCCTGGCCTTGGCCTCAGGGCCCCACCCAAGGCCTGCCCCCAAAGTTCCCCCCAAGCCCCGGCTCAGTGGCTGGACACGCCTCAAAAAGCAGCTAATGGAGGAGGCAGAAGAGCCCCAATTCCCAGGGCAGGAGCCTAGCCTGGAGCCTGCTCAGCCGGAGGAACCCACTGCAGCCAGCTCCCGGCCCCCTGCCTCCCGGGCCTCTAGAATGTGGGATGCTGTGCTGTACCGCATGTCAGTGGCCAAGTCTCACAACCACCCAGCAGGGCCCAAAGATGGGGAGCATCCCTTGGCTGGCCTCCCCCGTCTGCCCTTCCTGTACAGGCCTCGCTTCAATGCCCGAAAGCTGCAGGAGGTTGCACGGGCCCCTCCCACATTCCAACCCCTTGTAGCGCTGAGCCCCCAGCCCAAGAACTTCAACCGGACAGCAGCTGGCTGGAGGCTCTGGTGAAGAAGTGTCCAAGACCACAGGGTGGACAGAAGATGGCTGAGCTCTAGCATGGAGGCCACAGCCATTGCAGGAGGAAGCACAAGGGGGCGTGGGGTGGAGGGAGGCTGGTGGGTGAGGTATGTGTGGGTGGCCTGGGAAGGATGCATCCTGGTGCTCAGAAGAGCCTGGTGGAAGTGGACAGGTCAGGAAGGACAAGTCAGAGAGGTGGACAAAGCAAAGAGAATGCAGAAGGGAGGCCAGGGTCTCACTGGTGTCGGGGGATGGGTCTGATCAATGTAGTGTGGGATTTGAGGGATGGGACTTGGGGAGGAGGAAAATATGCAAGTGTGTGGTGAGGGGAGAAGTTGGATTCACTGATGCTGCCAGGCAGGCCCTGCAGCATGCCCCCCAATTGTCAAAGCCTGGGAGACATATTTCCTTCTGTGTGAAGTCAGAACTGTCACCAGCAGCAGGAGCTGGTTGGCGTTTGTGTTCCTGTGAGAGGCTCAAGGGGCTGCGGGAGCCAGACCCCATGCCAGGATGCAGATGGTGGTGGATGAGGGGTGCTCAGAGGCACGGAGGAAAGCTGACTGAGCAGAGGAGGAGGCCTGGCCATGGCCCTGTTCACATACACCTCTGCTTCCCTTCCTGGGCTGTCAGCTTCTTGGGAGCTTGCTGGTTGGAGAGGGGGCAGGGGCACCCCGCTAGTCACATCTGGGCTTTGATGGCAGGGTGAGGAAGGCATCCTCAACATCAGGGCTGGGAGATCAACCTGGCCAAAATGTGTGGATTGGAAGCTGGGGCCTGCACAGGGGCACTGGAGGGGTCTCAGGCTGCAAACAGCAACCCTGATGGGCCACCAGCCATGAAGACAGGGGCCCAGAGGTTCCAGGAGAGAGCTCCAGCCGCAGCCACCACACAGGACTTGGCAGGGGAAGAAGGCAATGAAGGTGGGCTGGCTGCCCCACGGATGCAATGACCACGCTGAGTTGAGCCTGGGACCTGGGCCACCAATAAACATTTATCTAACCATGCAGGTGCCAGGTCTCTATCTTGACCAAGGTTGGGCACAGCAAGCTCTTCAATGGCCTTTAGCAGGGACAAGAGGGCAAAACCTAGATCCTGTCCCCTTTACAGAACCAGTGTACCGACACATGGGGAATCCTGCACCTGGGGGCTCTGTCCTGTTTGCTTCCTCCAGTAGCGGTCAAGCTGCCATTCCTTCCCAAAGAGCCCAAGTGCACACGGCAGCAACCCTGAAGGGAGCTTTGAACTTCCCTTGAGCAGCGGCTGGGCTGGCCTGACTCTGGAGACATAGAGTTTGGGGCTGGTATAAGATAAGGGACAAGTCTGCTTAGGGTCTGAACAACCAGCCTGGGTCTGAGATACAGCCACTTTCCGAGGCCAGGACTTCAGGCTTCAGGGCCCAGAGTGAAAGAGGACAAGCAGACCCTCTCCACTCTGCCACATTCCCAGAATGTGGTAGAATGGCATGTGTCACGTACAGTGTTCTATGCTCTGGTCACTGCCTTGGACTTACCAAAATGTGTGACCTAAGGTGCTGAGCTGTCATCCAAAAGCACCTTTTCATACTTCCCGTGGCCAGTGGCCACAAACTTGTACCTCTTCCCAGATGGGGTGCTCTATTGGGGAAGAAGACCAAGAGTCAAGGAGAGACCTTTGCAAAGGAGAAGCTGCTGCCCCTGGGAAGCCCTCTCGCATGAACAGGTCCCTCTTTACCACCTTCAGCCTGCACCAACTACACCAAGACCCACCTTGACTGTAGACGATGTCTTAGGCTCTCCTTTCTTCTCCCAGAGGCTCTTCTTGCTCAGGTCTCCAGCGACAATATCCTGGGGGCATAAGAGGGAGCAGTCACAGGGCTGGAAGCCCTGGATCTTTCTCTTCTGCCTGGCCTTCTCTGGCCCTGACCAGGGGGCTGCGAACTCACCCACCTTCCCTCTGGAAGTGAGACCCTGAGGGCACAGGCAGGAAAGGAGAAAAGGCACCAAGTACTGTCACTGGCTGACACAGACTTGGCACAGACATTTTGGAGCCACCTCACCACACATCCCAGTGCTCTGTCCACCCATGCTTCATCCTGGATGAGCTACCACTTTCTTTCTCAAGGAACTTCCCAGGCTTTGACTACCCAGCCCAACCCTGCCCAAGGGAGGACCCTACCTTGCAAGAGGGAGTCCTGGTAGCAGACTGAGTCTGCACCTCCCCAGTCTCCCACCGACTCTTGGTATCAGCCACAGCCATGCTGGGCAGCTCTATGGAAGCCTGGCGGGATAGCTTGGGGGTCCGACCAGCAGACTGCAGAGAAGAGAGAGCCCCAGGATAGCATTAGTCAACAGCCCCCATAGAGCACATCAGAGGATCCTGGGAAGCCTCTTTTATCTTTATTTTCCCCAGGGAAGCTTTCCCAGTGCAGGGCTAGAACCACTCTGGAAAAATGTGGTTTCCTTCATTCCCTGTACTTATGAAATATGCCCTTATTTTGAAGAGTACAAATGACATAATGGCACACAAGACATGCGGGCTTTGTCTTATTGCGACTCGTGGCATAGGCGTAGGGGAACAGGGGCCTGATGGAGGGCACTGAGTGGAGTTTTGGTGGGTGTAGGGGCATGGGTTAGATGGAGGAGGGTGTTGGTTGAATAGAGGGATTTTTTTGAATAGAGGGATGGGGTTTGATGGACAGAGAGACATTGATTGGATGCAGGATTGCTGGATGGGTAGAAGAGTGCTGGCTGAATGGAAAGGTATGGATTAGAAGAAGGAGGAATGTTTGGGAAGGGAGAGGAGACATTTGAATGAACAGACGCTGATGAGATGACAGTGCCAGTTGGGTGGAGGAGCAGTGTACCAATGGAGAGGTGTTGGCTGGCTGTCTGGCGTTGATTGAATGAAGGGAGCGTTGGTTGATGAACATACCTCAATGGCCTGAGTGTACTGTTCCAGCCTCTCATCAATCTTGGAGATGGACAGTGCTGGCTGGGACTTTTTCACACTGTTACTGGAGAGCAGAAGTGTTGAGCCTCCTGTATCTCTGCCAGGACCCTTACCAGCCCACCCTGTGCCACTCCCAGGGCCCTCCAGGATCCCAGATCTCAGTTACTCTCTTCAACTCCTCTTGGAGGATCCCCGAGAGCAGACAAACATACCTCTTCTCTATGGAGCGGTTCAGGGACTCTGTCCTGTCGGCGAGCTGTGGGGTTGGGCAGAAGCATGGACCTTGAGTAGCCAAAGTGAGGTGCACACCATCCCCTAGCAGCCCCACCCATCAATCCCAGCACACACTTCCATGTCAAGAGGTTTTACTGAGCACTAGCTATGAGCAAGGGGTAGGGGGAAGCAGAGAGTATGTGGAGCACGAGCCTGGGGAGACAGAGCAGAAGCCTTTGGAGTTGACCTACTTTGGTGGTAGGGCTCAGGGGAGGTGAGCGCAGGTTGGTGGTCCCCTCTAAGACCAGGGGGCTGGGGGTCCTGGGCTGTAGACATTTCTGGTGCTGGGGACACAAAACCCACATGACCCAGTGACCGCCTCCTTGCAACCCTCCTGCCCCTCCTAGGGCATGTTGGAGCACACCCTTTCCCCTCCCTGGGCCTCAGGCCCTGTCTGGCCCTGACATGCTCCAGTCCCGGAATTTTCCCGCCAGAGAAGTGTGTCTCCTGATCAAGAGGAGGAGCTTGCCCCAGGGGTCACCAGGCTCACTGCCTCCACCCTCTGAGAATGTGGGCCTGAGGGGAAAGAGTCTAGGGCAGGGGGCACTGGGCCAGTCCACAAGGTCCACACTGTGGTACAGGAGCCAAGGCAGACCCAACCCAGGGAGAGAGGTTACCACAACCCCCGGGGAGAGCCCTCACCTCCTCCTCTGCCTCTCCAGGCTCTGCAGCCCCCAGGTGGTCCTGGACAGCTTCCTCCTCTAGGCCTGGTCCCTCCTGGCCCAGACATAGTCCCTCCAGGTGGGTTTCTATGTGATGAGGTCCACCACTCTTGTTGTCATTTTCACAGGGACACTGGCAGGACCTACTGTGTAGAAAGGGAAGCAAAGCTAATTGAGAACCACTTGATTCCCTGGTTTTGGTCTGTTCCTAGTTCTAAGCCTCAGTTTCCCCATCTGTAAAATAGGGGCAGTCAGACAGTTGAATGTTGAGACTTCTGAGATCCCAGCTTCTTTGGGGAAGGAGGCCCAGCAACCTCACCAGCAGCCGATTTTTGGAGAACCCTCTGTGTGCAGGTCCTGAAGCCCAGTTAAGAACGGCAGTCCCTGCATGGTTCCTGCTGTGCAAGGTACCCCTGCACTCACGCAGGGCCCCTCCCTGAAGCTCCCTATCCAGGCAAGGCCAGCTTCAAGGGAGTTGTACACAACCACCCCACTGGCCTGGGCTGCCTGGGCTGCCCTACTCCAGCCGTAGGCAAGCGGATCAGTATGTTGAGACAGGGAGGTGGGGTGCAGGGGTGTTTTTTGGGACTGGGTCAGCTAGGGCAGGCACACATCACTGAGGAGAGGGGCCACCGGAGAGAGGAGGCAGCCAGCTGGCAGCTGGGCGTGGCTCTGCACTTGAGCGGGACTGAACCTGGAGAAGATGGTAAATTCTTGCATTTTCCATGATTTCAGGCCCCTTGGCGGACCTGCCAGCCAAGACCCAGACCCACCGTCCAAGGTGGGCCAGGTCCCAGCCAGCGGCAGCCACACAGAGGGGCCATTCAGGAGTTGGCGGTCTGTGAGCGGACAGTCAGGTGCGGGGGTGGGGTGGGAGTGCAGGGGCTCAGGACTCTACCAATAGAGCAAAAGTGCCCCCTGCTGTTGGGCGAGAGAAGGCAGGAAGCCAGCAGGCAAGGCTACAGCTGCCCCATCTCAGAGACAGCTTGTGCAGCCAAAGGCATGAAGGGGGGAGTGGGAAACTGAGGCCAGCAGTAGGCAAGCCAGGACCAGGGCCAGGATAGGCAGATGGCTCTTGGGGTGTGGGAGCCTGGTTGTAGGTGGAAATGGGGTGGCCATGACATGGGAGAGGGCTGAACCAGAGCCCCCGCTGGCCTAGGGAGCTCAGAGGGGCCCAGGTCAGGAGAAGAGGAAATTCCCCAAGCTTGGAGCTCCCAGGCAGGACTGGGGACCCTTGCCCTAGGCCTGATGGAGCAAGGTGGGGTTGTCCTCACATGTAGCCCATGAGCTACTAAGAGCAGCTCAGACCCTGAACTGGGGGAGGGCAAGGTGAGGCTCGGGAGCAGCCCCCATCCACAGAGCCCAGGAGTTCTCTGGGCCCCCACCCATCCTGATTCAGACAGGCACACACGTCCACACATCTGGAAAGCGTGCCCCCCCCAGGCAACCTCGAAGGCACACATCTGGAAATACCTGCTCCCCTTCGTGGGAATGGAGATCAGCCAGCCCCCAGGGAGGGGGGTGCGGGCTGCAGAGCCTGCATTACGTCAGTGGGCTGCAGCTGCGTGCTGATGTGGCAACCCCCCCCACCCCAATCCCCGCCGGCCGCAGCTGGTCTGGATGGGGCCCAGGGGCCCTAGGGAGCCCAGGAATGAAATTTCCTCACCGCCCCCTCCCTACAGCCCCTCGTAGGCCTCCCTGCCGTCTCCCTCCCTTCCTCCCTTCCCTCCTTTCTCCCCCTTTAGCAGCCATGGGGCTTTTGGTGGGGGCTGGCTGGGAAGGGAGAGCAGAGGCTGCTACTCAGACATAGTTAGGGGCTCAGAGACAGTGGGGGCCCTGTCCAGCAGCCCAACCTCCGGGTCTTGACCCCGCCCCACTTGCCTGTCCTCTTGCTCCCCCTCTGGACACTTGCCCCAAGGGGGCTTGCAGCTGTCCACAGACCCCTCAGTCCCCCAGGACTGTTGCTGTTGCTCTGGCTTCTGTGACCAATCACCAAAGCCCTCGTCTTCATCCAGTTCAGGGGTCTCTGAGGGCTTCAGGCTGAGGGTGAAAGAGCAGTGGAGGGCTTTAGGGCTGAACTTCGGCATGCTCCAACCTAGCCCCACGCCCCTCCCTTGTCTTTCCCCTCAGATCCCGGGCTTCATGTGTAGGAGACCCCATCTGCCTCGTAAGTGGCTCCCCATAGTTAATCCGTGTCTGCCCTGTACTCAGAGAATTTCTGACAATAGGGCTATGCCCAGCCCGTCAGTCTGGGGCTCCCAGAGGACAGAGCTGTGCCTCTCCCTTTAGTCTTGGGCTTCCAGAGGCTGCCCCAACCCCAGGCTTATTCTTAGTGGCTTTTCACAGGCCTTCCTGAGTAGCAGGGTAAGCTACTCAGTAGCAGGGGCTAGGAAGGGCTCGCAGCCTCAGGAGTGACAAAGGACCCAGCCAAGAGGCCATGACCGCTGTAGCACCTCACCCCACCCAAATATGCTGACTCGGAGAAAATGGAACAAAACAGGGCCAAGAGGAAGGGGAGCATTATTGGAAAAACAGCCCAGCCCAGCCTCGGGGGCCTCCTGGGCCCAGGAAGGAAACGAGCCGGCTTGTGGCCGCCAACTTGGACATGGCCTCTGTGAGTCACCGGCAGCAGGGAGCTTGGGAGGGGGTCAGGGGCCAGAGCTACGTGGCTGGGGTCAGCATCAGTCCAAGCAAGGGCTGGGACCAGGAAGGGTATCCAGAACCTGAGTCAGAGCCCCCAGGAGGCTGGTGGGAGTGGGCCACTTCACGTGGCTCTGTGCACCCTCTGGCCAGTTAGGGGTCCAGCAGACAGGGTCGCCCCAGGCTGCCGACTACACTTTCTCTGAGAGCACAGTCCTTTCTGAGATTCTTCCTGTACTGGGACCCCAAAGTCCAAGGTCTGACCACCAGCACTCTGCTCTGCATAGGCTGCAGGATGCCAGGATCCAGGGTCAGGGTGGCTTACAGTGCCTCCTGCTCTGGCCACTTTGGGGACTGGCCACCCTCATCCTGGTCTTGGTCCCGCAGTTGCCTGTCTCGTTCCCGCCGGCGCCGCTCCCTGGCCACTTCTTCTTCATCCTCCACACTCCACTGGGTGGTGAGCCTGGGGAAGAGAAAGGCAATCATACTACGGCCGAAGACATGGTGCCACACAGTGAGGGTAGATAAGCCCAGACCCTGAACCAGTGCTCCAGGCCTTAATTTACCAATCTTTAGGTCATGCAAAGCAGTTGTAAAGGTGTCTCTGGCCCAGGTGGAGGACCCAGGACTGTCTTGGGGATGGAAGGGCACCAGAGACCATCTGTCAGCCTCCACCAGCTTGTCCTTGGACCTTACCAGAGGCAGGACCTAGAGCAGTGTGGCTTTGCCTCCGGGGGGATCTAGGAGGGTGCGTGGGGTCCAGGGAGTGTTGGCCCTTGTCAGCAGCCCTGACAAGTGACCATCCAGGCAGCCAGCCCCCCCCACCAGATGGGGGTACTCCATCCCATATTGGGAAGAAGTGACCCTTGTCTGGGTTTCAAGGGTGAGGAGGGCCTGTGCCTGGCCAGGCAGGGCACCCCCTGTCCCCACCTCATGTTCAGCCCATTGCTGGGGGGCTTGGATGGCACCCCAACTTCATCTCAGAGCTCACTGTGGAGTCTCTCTGAAAGTTTCTCATGGTGGGGAAACTGAGGTGGAGACAGCTGCTGTCCTCAGAGCACCCAGACACCAGTCTTCTTGAGACCCCCTCACCCCAGGGGTGGGGGCCTCCAGGGGAAGACATGGAATGGCCTGGTCCCAGAATCTGGAGCCCTTGACCAGCAGATCTCTAGTGACTGGTGTCCAGTAGGGATTACAGGCTTTGACCATCCTGAGCCCCCTCCTAGTTTGCCTAGAGCTAAAAAGGAGAGTTCGGGGGTCTCTGTTTCTCAATGCCCCAGGCCCAGGGAGCCAGGCCAGAGCTGGTACAGGGCTGGGTCTCCTTGCTGGGGTCTCAGTCCTTCCTGCCAGTGTCCGCCGCATGACCCCACAGCCCACTCCCCTCTGGGCCTCAGTCCCCTGGCCAGGCATCCTTGCCAACACATGATCTAATCTCTCCAGGTCTCCCCTAAGCCTCTCAGACGAAAGCCAGGCCTCTCCACAGGCTCCAGTGTGGGGCCTGCTCCCCCCGCTGCAGCCACATGGGACTCCAGCCACAACCTGCCCACCCGCTCAAGCTCTGCACCCCAAGCCGCCTGCTTCTTCCTCAGAAGGGCCTTCAACTTCCAGCCCCAGGAAGCCCTTAATTCCCCACACCTGGCTCCCATCACCTGGCAGATGCGGTTGGCCTCCCAGCTCCACAGTCAACAGGGGCTGCTGGACATATTCATCTGGGGGCTGTTGGCTCGGGCTGTGGCCCAGGTCCCTTTCCTATGCCCATGCACACCAGCAGCCCCCAGACGGATGTTCGGAGCAGAGCAGCATGGGCAGGAGGTGCCCCTCCCACTTCTGGGGCAGCCTCTGGGGAGTGACCCCTGGGGTATGGGTTCTGTTCCCACTTCTAGGTTTTTGGGCAGCACAGGCAGGCTTGGGTGTGCATGTGCATGTGATAGTTGTGCGTGTTTTGCCCAGGTGGATATGTAAACCAAGACCTGAGGCACAGAATTGTGCCTCCATTCCCCCTTTGGGCTGGCACTTCTTCCTACATGGGGCCAAGGGCCTTTCTCCTCTCCTTGGCTATCTCCCCTGAAAGCACAAATGTGTGCAAGTCTCTGGGGGCCCTGTCAGAAGGAGCGACACACAAAGTTATGGGGCTCACCGAGCTGCACCCTGTTCAAGCACACACGTGTTCTCCAGGTGCCCACGTGGGCACACACACACCCACACTGAGGTTTGCACATGTGCACACACATGCACACACACAGACAGCATCGACCAAGTATAGACACAGGCCCGGGGATGGGGGATCACGAAGTGGCAGGTCCTGGCCCCCACCGCCCCTCTTGGATTCCTCCGGGTGACCCCTGCCTCACTATTTACTGTTTTCTTCTACATCACCCAGACAACAGTGGAGCTGGGTCTGGCAGGAGGCCAAGGTGTGTTTTCTGGGAACATCCCATGGAGCTGGGCTCCCCGAAGGTCACCCCCACTTAGCCCTCCCTGGACAAAGCAGGGTTCAGGGTAGGCATCTCCCAGTGTCCCCCTCAAGCCCCATGCTGGGGAGAAGCCCCGCTGCCCCCCAGCTCCTGACCCAACAAGTGAGGACAAGAGGCCCGGGGGCCCCTTCCCCTGCCTCCTCCCTTCCCGCCTGCCCCAGGATATGAGTAATGCGGCCCCCTCCCCATGACCTCACCCCCTCACTATTCCACAGCTGGGCTCCGTTCTGGGAACTGAAAGGGGGTGGCTCTCCTGGGGTGGGGTGGGGGCCTCTGGCCTGGGAAAGGCGCCCCCCGGCCAGCGGCCCAGACCCCTTGGCACGCTCCACGGGGCTGTCAGGGCTCTGGCGATGGCCGCCCCGCCCGTGGCCCTGGCCCGGCTGAGTGCAGCTGCGAGGGATTTGGTGTTCCTGTGCAAATGCAATCAGGCCATTTCCTGTCTGTTCTGGCTCTGTGGCCTGGGGTTCAGCCTGAGGGGCCAGGAACGTGGGGCCCTGTCCCCCTGCACCCGCCACATCCCAGGGTCTGGGGGGAGGGCAACTTGGTCCTCGCCCAGGCCCAGCAGTGTGTGCAGACCCCCAGACTGCTCCCTATTCTGAGTGGGGTTCCCAGAGCTTAGAGTGGTCCCTGTGGCCAAGTCTACTGCTGCCACCTCCCACTGGGGACACAGTGGGACACAGTCCCCCTTCTATCTCCTCTGTTCCGCCCCCCATTTACCCAACTCCCTAGTCCCAATCAGGGTCCAAGGATACCCGTCTTAGGTCCAGCTAGCCCCTTCAGCTGTCCACCCTCTTGTTCCTCCCTCAGAGTTCCACTAGGGGCTCAGGCCTCCATCCCTGTCCCAACTCTGCCCCCTACAGGCAGCTCGTGGCTGACCCGTCCAGCTATCTCTAAAAGGTCAGCTTCACGTTTTGTTCCCGGTCCTGGGGAGAGTTCAGGTTTGGGCTGGGGCCAGGAACCAAAGCAAAGAGGTGCGTGTGTGTGGCAGGGCGCCTTCCTCAGGCTGCCTGTAGGGAATCCCACTACTCCAAGCCTGCTGGACACCACAGGGCTAGAGGTGATCAGGAAGCCTTGGGCTTTCTGAGAGCACCAAGGTCTCTGTTGTTCGCAGGAGCCCACCCTCCTGAGATCTCATATGCTTGGGATCCTGCAGGTAATCACAGAACCCCTAGGAGGAGAAACAGAGCAAAGAGAAAACGAGCCCATGTACAGACCTCCTTGGGGCTGGCTCCAGGGCCCAAACCAGGACATTCACAAGCAGGGGGCGAAGACCAGAGTTTGTCTGGGAGACCAAAGAAAAGGTGGCTGCAGCAGGGCAGCACCTGCGTCCCATAACATAGGATGCCACTCATGAAGCCTTTGACACGCTCTGTGGCGGTTCAAAGCCAGGGTCCTATCCTTGGGGAAAGCCAAGACAGGTCGCAGGTGTGGCCTGCCGAACTGTTACCCCCCCTGGGGAGGCAGTGGTACAGGTAAACCCGAAACATACAGCCCCAGGCCAGCAGGTGGGCACTGGTACAGGTGGGCAGGAGGGCCAGGGTGAGGGCACAAGAGCTTGGCCCAGCACACCCTTTAGGATGGGCCCTGTTTGTGTCACACTTTCCCTGGTGTGTCTATGACATCTTAGGTGTAAAGGGGATGGAGGCAAGCCTTTTCCTGTTGTCATGGGCTGGTGAGGGAGGGGGACCTCTCACGGGGCAAGACCCTGGCTCCACTGTCCAGGGAAGTCTCATGATGAGTTGGTTGTAGGGGGGAGGTGACCTTGAATTTGAGCAAGGATCCTCGGGCCAGAGAGAAGGGAGGGATAGGGCAAAGGAGGAGCCACAGAGCCCAGAGGTACTGTCTCTAAGGTCCACAGGGGCAGCTTGGGAAGGAGACCAACCAGAATTGCATCCTATTAGGAAGTCCTGGGTGAGCTGGGGAGGGCCAGTGAGACTGGATATGGGGGAGGATCTCGGCAAGAAGGACCAGAAGGGAGAAGTGAGGGCTAGGCTGGGAAGAAGGACAGGGAAGCAGCCTCCAGAACTGCCAGGGTGTCTATTCCGTGTGAAGCGTAACTCAGGGTGCTGGATGTGGGAGACACTAAGTGAAGTCCAGTATGCAGCATGGGCCAGGGGGCCTTCCTGGTGGTGGTGGCACTGACTGGACCCTACTACCACTGGCCCCACTAGGCCTGGGGTGGGCCGCCTTGGAAGGACCCTGGTAGCAGCAACCTGAGCTGATCCGAGGTGACCAAGAGGAGCTAAGCTGGAGAGCCCAGGGATACCGTGCCCTCCAGGCACAGCCCCTCAGGTCTCCCTCAGGCTCCACCAAGGATGCTGTTCCACTCGATGCTGCCTCCACCATGGATTTTGTTCATCCAAGTGGAAAGGAGAGCTCAGGAGTCACATGGTTCAGGTCCCCAGACTACCTCCCCCAAGTCCCTAGAAACCCAGACCATCAGCAGCCCCTCAGGCTGCAGTGTCCCCATCTATCAGTACCACAGGAGCTAATGTATGACAAGTGGCCAGCCCCACTACTGTGCAGTCAGTACACATGGTAAAGTCTTTTATGACCTCCTCAGGGTTATTCATGGAAGGGATGGCCCTGAAGGGCCATGACATCCTAGGGATAAGGGGCAGGCCTTGGGAAGGTCACAAAGTATACAGCAGCTAAACTGGAGGCTATGGGAGCCACAGAAGGTTCAGGAGAGAGGCACAGAGGACGTAGAGCCAGGAGCCTCTGGCTGGCTTGTGGAGGGCAGGTGGAAGAGAGAAGAGAGTACTGAGCCTGCTGCCATCCTTAGGATGACCTGGGATGAGACCTTGGGGGGAAGGGCTTTTGAGTGGAGAAAACTGCAATCCAACTGGATACCCAGGGCCCCCTACCCAGGGGAAGTGAAGGAGAGGCCAGCAGGTAAAAGAGCCAAGGGAGGTCAGAATCGGGGGCTCCCAGAGGGTACACACTCATCCTGGGCAAACGAGAGGGACTCCTGCCTAGGGTGTGCTAG